TATTTTCAGTCAAATAATTTAAATTTATAAAATGACCTTTATTAATTGCTAGGAGTTTACATTTATCTACTCCAAAAGACATACCTATATCTGAAGAGAAATTCTCTGTTAATTTAAGTAATAATTTAAGTTGTTTCTCAGATGTAGCATATAACTTAATGTCATCCATATACTCGTACATTAAATGGCTCAACTTAGCTACAACCCTTTTATTGTGTTTTAAATTGAACCCATAACCAGAAGAATTTAAAATATTGGAAAGCGGATTTATAGCTAGACAAAACCACAAAGGACTAAGTGAATCACCCTGAAAAATGCCCCTATTAATTTGAATGGGATCTGTTTTTAAATTATTGTTTTCTAAAGTTAAATTTAATGTAGTTTTCCAAAAATTCATAATATAATTCAAGAATGAGATTAAGTTTGGATGTATTTTGTATATTCTTAAAATTTCAATTAACCAAGAGTGAGGAACAGAATCATAAGCTTTTTTATAATCTATAAAAGCAGCATAGATATTTCTATTATGTTTTCTTGCTTGTTCCATTATAACAGTCTTACATCCAAATGATCCTTTAATACATCCTTTTTGTTCCTCATTAATTATGTTGTTTTCTAGACAGTGATTATAGATTAATTCAGATATGCAAGATGTCATTATCTTATAAATTGTTGCAAGACACGTAATGGGTCTATATTTAGATGGATTTTTAGTCTCTGAATCTTTTATTATTATAATTATTATTATTATTATTATTATTATTATTATAAAAAAAAAATTGGGCATTGACCATTTTCCACGTGGCCAAGGAGGCTGATCATTAGGGATAGTGTTGCTATCAACTAATGATATGAGTCCAGTAATTGCACGTGCAGGCACGACATTTATACTTTGACAGTGAAACAAACACTTAATTGATAATTGTCAGATGAATGGCAAATGATGTATAATTTGTCAAGTTACCACGACATGACCTTTGTTGTCACCCTATATAAGCAGTATGACAAAGATTCGGTTTGTGAAAGAATTTATTGTTAGATAATTGTATAAAAAGACAAACCTTGTACACAAAAAATTGTGGAATAAATTTATAAAACGTACAAACCATTTTTCCTTTTTTTAACTAATCAAATTTTATTACCAATTACAGAACAATACGCTTAAAACAATGTAAAATAAGCCTCTTAACCACTCTTTATTGTATTTGATTGAAACAAACGAAGAATTGCAAAACTAATAATATTTCGATGGAGTTAGATAATGTTTTAACAATCTATCATGAGATTTTTTCTCTATTCGTGTCAAACATTCCCCTATCGGCTTTTTTTCATTAACACATATAGCCAAAGCTTCTTGAATCATTTGACTATCGACAGTTTTCAAATCTGTTGCAAGTTCCAATGCAGCGCAAACTCGGATAAATTTAGAAGTACAATCAGTGCCATATTTGCCATATTCACTCGCTTGGTAATCCCATGGAGATATATAATGGTAAGAAATCCAATAAGATTTGTTAACGAAGAAAACTGCATTGCTATCATAGGAATTCCTAACAAAAGTTTTACATAATTATAAACAAATTATGAGTTTGTGTTACCTGTCAGTTTGTTTGAAATCAAAAATATTTATTCCGCTGTGAATTAGTAGCCTTAAATGGTAACTAATTCCCAAACGTAACCATCCAAGTATGAAAAATGAATTCAATATGGTTTCATCCCAATATTCTACAGGAGCATTTATTGGCAAAAGTAAAGTTACAATTACAAAAAGAAACCAATAATACCTACAACATAATTAATTAATTAAAAATAATAGTTTTGAGTGATTAATTAAAATTACTTTTTCTGGAACATCACAATTTTGTCTTGTTCTAAATCCGACATGTCGATTTCTTCTAACAATTTCTCTTGAGCCTGACTTAATTTTAAATTGTTTGCTATAAAATGAGAATAAATAAAACCTTTTTGAGGATTAAACGGATCCAATTCTGTTTGAAAATATTTGTGATGAAGTCGGTGGAGACGAACCCAGTTGTAGATAGAAGTCTAAAGAAACAAATTTGTGGTTTACGTTATTTAAAAACACATTTTTTTAAATTCACCTGTCCCGCTAATGTTTGACAAAGCATTAGAAATACCCTCAGTGAAGTTGTTGCTTCGTAGGAATGGTGTGCCCATAATCTATGCGCTCCGGCTGTTACCCCAAGTGTAGAAAGTAATATCAGCAATAAACCTAAAATGATTAGTTAATTATCATTCATTTAAATAGGTTTTTAGGTTACTAATAAAAAAATTATCGTCAAAAAATTGTCATCTTTATACAGGGTCGCTAAAAAGTATGGATGCAGCTAAATATTTTCAGAGCGGTTTAGCAGAGCACGTTGAAATTTGGGAAACAATTTACTTATTTTTTTTTATCAATGTTCAAGCGGCAAAAAGCTGACGACGGATAAAGACAACATTTCCAAGGCTAAAAAAATTTACAATTTTCAAAATTTAAATAGTTCGATAATTTTCATTAAAATAAGGTATGCATGTGTTACTCGTACATCATAAAACTCAGAAAAAATGCTCTTTTTAAAAATATTAAATTTGACTCTTCTTACTATTAAAAAAAATCAAGTTAGCCCCAGAAGAAATCGAGATAGAAATTTGATAAACACCTAAGACGAAGGAATTTAAATACTTTTAAGCATATCAAATTTCAATAAGTTTTAATGAATAGTTTTTATAATATTTAACTGTATACATACTTTTTAGCGACCTTGTATAGCAAGATGATACACTATACAGAGTGTCTTAGCGATTTGAAAAAGTCTATTAGTGACCTGTAAATGGTAAAATTAAAAAATATACAAGGTGATTCACGAGGAATAATGAGCCTGACCAAATTCTCGATGCAACCACCATTACCACTATTAGTTATTTTGCGACAACTGTAATGTTGGTTGCTTCAAAAATTTGGTCAGGCTCATTATTCGTCGTGAATCACCCTGTATAGGACATTGAAAGATACTAATCTAGACTATTGCCTAAAATTATTTTTAACTATACAGCGTGTCTCAAAAATACTTTACAATACAATCTTGTGTTTCTTTAAATAAAACACCATATATATTTTAACATTTTTAGATGTAGATTTTTATGACAATGTTTTTAAGCTAAATCTTATTGGTCGATTTTGCTTAGTTTTAAAAATAAGACGTTTTTTTTTTGACGAAAACATGCACTTTTTAAAAATTTATTACACAAAAACTAAGACTTCTAGAAATATTTTTTAACTACCGCGAAGAAGAAGGTACCTACAAGCTATAAGGTTGTAACATTTTTTTAGTGTGTTGCATTTGCAATGATAAAAAAATGAAGATGTTTGTGAAAAGTTCAATAACTTAAAAAAATTAAATGGAACACCTTATTTATTGTTTTTCCATTTAAAGGATTATTAAATTTTCTTTTTAAAATTATTTACTTTTAGGTGTTTATAATCAATAAGTCAATAACTAATAAAATATTTTATTCACAATCACTAATGTAATATGCCGATTACTAACCTTTTTAAGGTTGGGAAACATGTCATTATTTCTCATGAAGAGTAATAAATGTTACTCCTCTTGAGTGGTAATATGCAAGGATGCCAAAATTAAAATTACGAAAATACCGGAAATTTTTTCTTTCAAATTGTCAAGTTATGCATAATATTTTGCTAAATTAGTATTTAATTGCTTTTGTAGCAGTTTCTCTTACTTCTGAGGGAGTATACTGCTCCAGTTCGATGACTTTAAATCAGATTCACACATTATTTCAATATTTACTTTGACATTTCTGAAATGTCAAAAATCAAATGCCATTTGGATGGCCTACCACGTTTGGACCTTAACTTTGTTAGAATTTTATTTTACTCACATTTTTGATTGAAAATAATGTGATTGTGAATAAAATAGCATACAAACCTCGGTTGTAATGGCATTACCCCTTGAGCTTTATCCGATCTCGAGGCTGGCGCCTCTAGATCGTATACATAAGCACTCGGGGTAATGCCATATTTACCACCTCGCTTGTAATGTACTATAACGTTAAACAAAAAAATAATTACTATTGTTTCAGTAGCCAAAAAGTGCACAGTAGCACAAGAGATGGAAGAAATATCACTTAATAATCACATTTGTGTTAATCTGAATCTATTATTCTTTATTTTTACAATAAAATAATTCGAATTTCAGTATTTATAACCACAATCTCTAGATAAATCAACAGATGGTGGAATTACTATGGTTGCAATAGTATCAAGAATGCTCAGATATTGATACGCATTGTTGCTACAATTAATATTGAATGTTAAATATCTTTCATTTATCAATTCTAAACATTAAAAGTTTATTTTTTTAGATAGAGAATTTATCAATCTATTAGATGCAAAAATAAAAAATAAGGTGTTCCATTTAATTTTTTTAAAGTTATTTAACTTTTAACAAACATCTTCATTTTTTACTTTTTACAAAAACACTAAAAAATTGTTCCACTTTAAAATTCTTTACATTCTTCTTTGCAGAAGTAAGAAAAAAATTGTTCTAGCTGTCTTAGTTTTTGTGTAATAAATTTTTAAAAAGTGCATGTTTTCGTCAAAAAACCGTCTTATTTCTAAAATTAAGCAAAATCGAGTAATAAAAATTTAGCATAAAATCATTGTTTTAAAAGGCTACATTCAAAAATGACAAGAAACATACAGTGTCATTTAAAAAAACATGTATCGTAACTTATTTTTGGGACATGCTGTATGGTTGAAAATAATTTTAGGTGATGCACTAGATTAGTATCTATCTCGCTGGGACATTCTGTATGTATAAGAAAACTAATATAAAGTAAAAATTTACGTTATAAAACTAAATAATGATTTGTTTTACATTGTGTGTTTTATAACTGTTTCTTCAGACACAACAATGGCATTTACTTTATTTTTCAGCAAAATCATAATCATAACAATTAGCATATTATTTTAATATTAATCTGTGATTCATGCTCTTAAATTTATAAATTAGAAATCACAAAAAAAAAACAAATCAAACCTATTAGAATTGTTAGAAATGATCAAAAGAAAGATCTTCAATTTCTGATAAAAACTACGTAAAACCGAATTAAATGATGATATTATTAAAACTATAAACGACATTTTGCTTTTATTGCACTAAATATGTTTTGTTATTTGTTGCAACAATGGTATTGTATCTTGAAAAGGAATTATTTCAGTAACCCTAAAATTTTATACCAATATTTTTGAGTTAAACAATGTTCTCGGTTATATTAATTCATCTAGTTTTTTTTCTCCATTACACTATTTCTGCACTCTTCTATTACTAGATCCATTTTCAATTTCAAGACCGTAAACACCCTATAGAAATATGCTTAAGATTATAAAAATAGAACCCTCGTTGCATTTTTCCTAGACAACAAATTTACAAAACTTTCTGTAAATACTCTTACAATAACATACTATATTGTAAAAAAGTATCGGGAATGTTCGATTTAAAGAGTTCATGTAGAAGATATCTTAATCATTCTTGTCAGGTAAGTATATTGGTACAACCATACTCTCTTACCAAGCCAAATTTTACCTCTATAGGTCAAGGGGTTTGTTTAAAATTGTTTTTACCATAACTTGTGGTTAAGTCAGACTCGCGATTTTTCTTTATGGATTCCACAACCGATCAGAGAATTTGCTTGAAATTTTGTGTTGCCAACGAAAATTTGTGTAGTAAATCTCTGAAAATTTTTCAAAAAGCCTTTATGGATTCATGTATGTCAAAAACCCAAGCATATGATTTCAAATGGGCCGGAAAGAGTTCACCGACATTCCTCGTTCTGGACGATCGTAACATCAAAGACGGTGGAAAATGTAAAGAAAATCAAAGAAATGCTGACTGCAAATTGTGCGCTTGCACACACACAGCGACAATCCTGCACAAATTTTTGGATAAAAACTCAACAAATGTTATCAATCAAGCACAGTATTTAGCTAACATGGCCCTATGTAAAGTTTTCCCATTTCTTAAAGTTAAATTGTCCCGCGAGGAAGGCTTTTGAATCCATAAAAGACATAAGACAAAATTCGCAGAAAGAACTGAAAGCCATATCTTTCGTTGTTTATGAGAAGTGTCTTGATGATTGTGTTAATCGTTGTCATATGCGTGTCGCTTCAGATGGAGCTTAGTTTGAAAGGAATCAAATAACAATTGATCAATAATAACGTAGTACTATTTTATTTAACGTTTCCCGGTACTTTTTGTACATAATGTAAAGGTAAGTTTCGTTGTAACTAGAAAAACAAATACACTGGACGCTAAAATTAACCGGACACCTAAAATTTTGCGTTTTTTCACATTGCTATATTTTTGTTATCCTTTGCCGGATTTCGACGAATTTTTGTTGGGCTTAAAGAATCAACTTTGCAGAACAATAACATTTCTAGTTTTGTCTTGTAAATGTTATATCTAAAAAACGAAAGCACTGTTTTTTTACTTTTTTTATACTGAGCTGTAGTCTGCAACAGTGACAAAATTAAGTTTTTACTTATTTCAGATTATTGCCCGTTCTTTGCTTTGAATAAGGCCCAATTTGTTTCAAAAGTTTATCGTCTGGTGCCTCAGAGATACGAAGCATTGAAAAAGACGTTGCTTTTCTAATGTTACTAAATATTCGTTCAGAAAGTAGACTTTATAAAATGGTAGTTAAACCGAAAATGATTGCTTATGTCACTGAAAGAGCACTATTAAGTCTTTGAACACAAAAAATCTGAAAAACTTGGAACTTGAAAGGATTACAAGTAAAACGGTTAATTATTGGAAACTTCAATGCGCCTAATTTGACGTTTTGACACATTTGGCCTACTTAATACGAATATTCATTGAAATTGGAAATGTAATGATTTTTTTAAAGGTTTATACAGGCTGTCTGACAGAGTGTGGTATATATTTAAACCTGTAGTTGATCCGCAAGAGAAATGTCTTTAAAAAAAATTTAGTGTCCTAAGTGTAACCGTGTGGGTACAAGAGCAATTTGAAAATTTTGCCAAAACCGTTTGAGAACCTCTGAAAATGGCCAATATTAATCAATGAACTTGAAATGTTTTTTAGTCGTAAGGTCAACAACATCTGCACTTTTTCATGGTTTGTTTTTGCCCGTTTTTTTTTGTTACTATGAAAGGTTCATTTATCAGTCGTGAATTTCATTTCAAGACAA